ATTGCTTCATCTAAATCATCAACATGTCTCTTAGACCTCATCCCGACCAGGCTGTTCAAAGATGTTTACCCCTTATCAGCACGTCCATATTAGATCTGGTTAACCTCTCTCTACTAACAGGCTATGTTCTGTAGGCTTTTAAGGCTGCTGTAATTAAACCTCTACTGAAAGAGCCTTCTCTTGACCCAGGTGTTCTAGCTAATTATAGAACCACATCCAATCTCCCCTTTATTTCTAAAATCCTTGACAAGCAATTATATGACTGCTTGTACATGAATAATTTGTTTGAGTATTTTCAGTCTGGTTTTAGAGTCCACCATAGTACAGAAACTGCACTGGTGAAAGTCACCACTGATCTCCTCCTAGGCTCAGACAAAGGACTCATCTCTATACGTGTCCTCATAGATTACAGTTGTGAGAGCCTTATAGGCAATATTATTAGGAACCACAGCATAAATTTCCATTGCTATGCAGATGATACTTAGTTATATTTATCTATGTAGCCAGGTGCATCTGATTAGTTGGTCAAATTTTAAGCATGTCTTAAAGACATAAAGGCCTGGAAGACCTGTAATTTCTTACTTCTAAACTCTGAAAACAGTACTTGGGCCTGAAATCTGCTGTCTAACCATATAATTACTCTAGATGACATAGCGCTGGCCTCCAGGACTACAGTTACGAATCTTGGAGTCATTTTTGATCAGGATATGTCCTTTAAATCACACATAAACCAAGTCTCTAGATCTACTTTCTTTCACCTGCACAATATCACCAAAATCAGGAGCATCCTTTTAAGTGTTATGAAAAGAAATGGCAACATCATGCTGTGGTAAATGTTTTACTGTCCACAGGCATCAGAATTGAAGTGAGTGTTTATTTTGAACAAACAATAAAATGTATCACATCAAATAATGTGCTGCTATATTTTTTTCAAAATAAAAGAGGACACAGATGATTTACACATCACTATTTTCAGTTTGAATTGTGATTTTACATACAGTCCCAACTTTTTCTGATTTGGAGTTGTATTTGTACCTAATTCACCAACCTTTCTTCTGCTCCAGAGCTACTCACGGGACTTTGGTGCCCTATCAGCTAGATTACTAATTATCTGTCTTAGGTTCCGCCCTTTTATACCCAAGTCAGCTGACTTGGCTACAAATTCCCTACAACCAACCTCCACAAGGCAGACTTTAACTTTCCAGCTACACTCTTTTGCCTCCATGGTTAATTATGTGTATTTCAGTTTCTTCCTCTTATAGCTCGACAAAATACACCGTCCGCTGTGCTTCTGACCACAACACAAGGTCTGGTCTGCGTTTAGTGCTGACTATCTCCTCGGGAACTACTGTATGAGCAGATTCCCTAAATCTACTTTCATTTGTCAATCTCCGCCTGCCTTTAGCTGACCTGCATCCTGCCTGTTCTAAATGACTAGGTTCCTGCCTTTTTCACCCTAACAAATGAATAAAACCCCCTCTTGTTTGTTCTTCTTCTCCACTGACTTTACCTCTAAGCACCTACTTTCAATAGCTGCTGCTAAACATTTCAACACTTGATCATGTTTCCAGGTGTTTTACACCCTGAGAGGATGTGCCAAAGTGATGCTACACCTGAACACAAGTGACGTGTCGGGTCCTCACCTATCCATCTATTCAGATTTTGGGGAGATGGAGGCACATCATAAGTTGTGGCTAAAATGAATCTAATCCTTCCTGCCTCCATGCCCAACATTTCCCTCCAACTAAGTTTCTTCCAATCTCATCTACTGTCCCTGTTGAGCCTGGGAGACTGCCTTTGCACTTCTACTTACCTCTTCCTGCCTCCTAATCTCCTCAATAACCATCTTCCTTCTGTCAGTTGCTGCTGCTTTGCTCCAAGAAGGTTGTGATGTGCTTAAGCCAAAACTACCACCTCCATGCTGTACCTGCCCTACATTATACCCATGTTTAAGAGTTGCTGAAGCATGCAACACTGCCTCCTTTGGGTTCCAGTTCCTCCATGCTGAGACTGTTGGTGCTGCACTCTGCACTGCTACATCCCTGGATTCTGACAGTGCTATCTTCAGTCTAGCCTTAGCGCATTTAATCTCCTCTGTTAAACTGGTTATAGGGAGCTCCAAAATCCCTTTTCCATACAGGCCACAGTGTTGATGCAGCGCGGAGCGCCTAGCCATTTCCTAATGTACATGTTAAACATTCTCTACCTTTTCTACCTTAGAAATTGGTGCATCATACACTAACAGTGGCCATAACAATCGTGGCAAAACTCAACTCAACTCAACTTTATTTATAAAGCACTTTAACACAGCCGAGGCCAACAAAGTGCTTAACATACAGTAAGATACGATTCAAAACATCTAAAAACGTGACAACTACATTATTAAAATACCAATAAAATAACATAAAAGAACCAACATAGCAAAATAACAAAAGACCAAACTGCAGGCACCACAGTTTGAGTTTGCCTGGGAGGCCTGACGCCTCCGTGCTCTAACATTTTTCTGGTGTTTTCTAATTGATAATGATTAAATTTGTTTTATTTTACATCATGCATGCAGCATATTTGCATTCATTTGTGTGATTGTGTTGTTGTAGAGTAAGCCACTTGACATGATTCACCTCAGTAGGGGGGAACCACTGTGCAGCAGCAATGTTCCCAGCTAGGAGTAAATAAAGAGTGCAGCCAAAGTTAGCTAAAGAAAGCACTGTGTGTGTCAAATTTTTACAAAAAGTAAACAATTTGATTCTTAATAATGTATAACTTAGGGGTTTAGTTTACTTTTACGGGTATTTCAAATGTGCCACCTGTACCAAGTCTGTACCCCAGCCTGGCCACCCTGTATACAGTTTTATAGATCCACCCCTATCTCCAGCAACACAGCTAGTCACTAACTTTGTGCTGCAGTTGGGTGCCCACCAGATTCGGTGCAGTCAGTGTGTTGGAGCGTTTTTACTGACAGCTAACAGCTGTCTAATGTGGCTGGAAACAAGTTTGATGAGAGCAGTGAGAGTGAACAAAATATTAAAGGTCTCTAAAACCAAAACAGTATGCTGAAAGACACTAGAGCCAAACTGAACTGTAAGTAAGGTGGCATAATCTTTCTTCTCACTACACAGAGTCATTTGACCCTATATAGAAAGAGTGCAGCTCAATAGCATATCACCTGTAGGTAAAATGAAACATGAGCCAACTCACAATGGTCTTAGTATTTCTCACTGCAAAAGGTAACTGTACAAGTGCAAAAATGAGAAACTGATCAAAGTTGAATGCTGCAGCTTAGTCCTGCTGCTACTGTGAAGATAACATCCCCTGTGGTTCAAAAAGTATTTTTCTTCTAGATCACCATCATAAAACCTGGGAGGGGCACCTCTTACTGCAAGCAAGGTCAATACTTACTATATTAGTCGAAAAAAGTTTTGTAGGTATAAAACATTTCCAGAACCTATTACAGCCATTTTCATGTCCAAGATGTCATGGGCAGAGTGTGCAAGGCCAAAAGGAGAAACACAGATGTGCATGTGAAGTGGGCTGCACGTTGGAAGCAATCCAAAAGGTTAGAACACTTTATTGCCTTATGCACTAGGTAAGCTATTTTCAATCAGTTGAATGGGTTCCGAGTGTGTGTGTGTGTGTGTGTGTGTGTGTGTGTGTGTGTGTGGTTGTTTGTCTGTATGTCAGCCCTGTGATAGACTGGCTTCCTGTCCATGGTGTACCCAGCCTCTCACCCAATGCCGGCTGGGTTTAGCTCCAGCCCCCACCCGCAACCCTGTTCGGGACTAAGTGATATAGATAATGGATGGATGAATGGGTTCCATCTTGGTGCCTAGTATTCAGTTCTATTACTGCATACATGGTAGATCTGATGATGTTTTCACCAGGCAGTTTGAGTAAGAATTCTCTCTTAGTTTCTCTTCTAAGTATGTTTTGGTATCCCATGAGTGCTTGTATGTATCCTAGGCCCATTTCTTATCCCATCTGACTTCTGTCTAACAATGTTGATATGTTCCCAGTTCTCAGCCATTAACATGGTGAGTACAATGTTATTATAACCAGTGATACCAATACTATGTAAGTAAGACAGAGATGTTATGAAACTAGCATTTTTGTTAAAGCAATTCTACAATACTGCATTATTTCGCTTTTATTGCAAATGTGAGCTGTGGGAGGATATGTTAGCTTATAAGGAAGACAAGTTGGCTTATAGTAATTGAAACAGAATTTTGAAGGCAGGCAAAGTTGCAAAGAAGGGTGGTGGCCTCATTACACAGAAAGACATTCTGATCTCCTAGACCTCTCTCACTGTACATTAGGCAAGACAATAAATGTCAAGCATCTCTACTCTTCACCCAGTCGCCACAAGTGAGATTCATTACTGGGCTATAGGGATAATGGCAGCCCATCTCCTCTCAGGAGAATGGCAAAAATCTATCCTTGGGACATGATCAATAGTCTGCAGGCCTGATCAAGAGAGGAGAGGTGACTCAACATGCCTGTCTGGACGATAGAATCCCACTCCACAGCATCATTTTCCAACCCACCTTTTGTCTTTTAAATAGTAGCAAGGCAGTGCAGCAGAGTATCACCGTCTGATCCTCTTACAATCTACTATATATATATCATACATAAGGAAGTGGCTTGTGATTACAAAAATACAAGCACTTCTTAAGCAATATTTATGTTTCTCTGCTTTAAAGTCTGGATTACACGACCTGGCATGTCACTTCAAAAAATATGAGTCAACTCGGACTGAGCATCGTTGCTGTCAAAGTTGGAACCACTAATGAGAATCAATGGAGTTCAGAGGCAGTCAGAAGCAGCTTCACTCACTGTGTTTGTTGCATCTGACATTTCATTCAGTTACAATTTCCTCTCTAAAAAATCTATGCCAGGCAATCAAAATGAAAAACTGGAAT